GGGGGCGCCGGGACGCCGGGGCCCCCCTGACGGGCACGGCGCGCCCGCAGACGTGGACGAGTGCAGCCTCTTCGCGCCGCGGCTCTGCAAGGGCGGCGTGTGCGTCGACGGCGCCGGCGGCTTCACCTGCTACTGCCCCAGCGGCTACTACTACGAGCAGGAGCATCTGCAGTGCATCGGTGCCCGCCCCGTGCGCCCCGGCCCGGCACGCTGCGCCGCGCCGGCGTGCCCTGCAACGTGCCCGTGTGCCCCGCGGCGCAGATAACGACGAGTGCGTGGACGAGGAGGCGGAGGCGTGCGTGGGCGGCCGCTGCACCAACACCGTGGGCTCCTACTACTGCTCGTGCGCGCCGCCGCTCGTGCTGGACGGCTCGCAGCGGCGCTGCGTGAGCAACGAGAGCGCCGCGCTGGGTGAGCGCGGCACCGTGCAGCGCGTTGCGGCGCGGCACCTCGCAGTGCAGCGCGGCACCGTGCAATGCGGCGCGGCACTGTGCAATGCGGCGCGGCACCATGCAATGCAGTGCAGCATCGTGCAATGCAATGCAGCACAGAACCGTGCAATGCCACATGGCACCGTGCAGCGCGTTGCGGCGCAGCACCTCGCAGTGCAGAGGGGCACCGTGCAATGCAGCGCGGCACCGTGCAATGCAGTGCAGCACAGCACCGTGCAATGCAGCGCGGCACCACGCAGTGCAGCGGGGCACCGTGCAATGCAGCACAGCACCATGCAATGCAGCACAGCGCTGTGCAGTGCATTGCAGCGCAGCACCATGAAATGCAGCGTAGCACTCTACAGTGCATTGCAGCGTGGCACCGTGCATTGCAGCGTGGCACCGTGCAGTGCAGCGCAGCACTGTACAGTGCAATGCAGCGTGGCACCGTGCAATGCAGCGCAGCACCGTGCAATGCAGCGCAGTACTGTACAGTGTATTGCAGCGTGGCACCGTGCAATGCAGCGCAGCACCATGCAATGCAGCGTAGCACTCTACAGTGCATTGCAGCGCAGCACCGTGCATTGCAGCGCAGCACCGTACAGTGCAATGCAGCGCAGCACCGTGCAATGCAGCGCAGCACCGTACAGTGCAATGCAGC